CTTGTGTTTTATTGACTATGCAAAGGCATTTGACTATGTGAATCACAGCAAACTCTGAATAACATTGCAAAGATGGGAATTTTAGAACAGTTCATTGTGTCCTTTGGAAACCTGTACGTAGCCCAAAAGGCAGTTGTTTCAACAGAACCAGGGGATACGGAGTAGTTTAAAATCAGGAAAGGTGTGTGTCTGAGTTAATCTGTATGCTGAGTATGTAAATTGAGAAGCTGGACTATATGAGGAAGAATGGGGAATCAGGACTGCAGGATGGCTTATTAACAACCTGTGGTAGGCAGATGACACAGCCTTACTTTCTAGAAGTGAAGAGAACTTGAAGTACTTACTGATGAAGATCAAAGTATACAGCCTTCAGTATAGATTACAACTCCATGTAAAGAAAACAAAAATCATCACAAGTGGACTGTTAAATAACATCATGGAAAATGGAGAAACGACTCAAAGTTGTCAAGGATTTCATTTTACTTGAATCCACAAGAAATCAAATGATATATTGCATTGGACAAATCTGCTGCACAAGACCTCTTTAAAGTGTTCAAGAGCGAAGATGTCACTTTGAGGACTAAAGTTTGCCTGACCCAAGTCTTGGTATTTCAAATAGCCTCATATGCATATGAAAATTGAACAATGAATAAGGACAACCAGAGAAGACCTGATGCATTTGCATTATGGTGTTGACGAAGAATATTGAAAGTACCGTGGATTGCCAGAAGAATGAACAGCTCTGTCTTGGAAGAAGTACAGCCAGAATAACTATTATTAGTGAGGATGGCAGGATGTATCTCACGAACTTTGGACATGTTATCAGGAAGGACCTGTCCCTGGAGAAGGACAGCATGCTGGGGAAAGAGCAGGCTCAACAAAAAAGATGGATTGGCACAGAGGCTACAACAATGAACTCAAACAGAACAATTGTGAAGATGGTACAGGACCAGACAGTGTTTCACTCTGTTAGTGCATACAGTTGCTATGAGTTGACACTAACAATAACGTGTTTATTTAATGTTAGGATTTAAGTTAATGTAGGGAAAATCAGTGTATATATATATATTTTTAATACTGAACATTCCTATTAAAGATCATGGCAGACTTTTGAATTTGGTAGTCTTTTTGTTTGTTTCTCTAGTTTATAATCTTTCTTTCTTATTCTTTCATTTTATTCATTTGTGTAAAATGGGATAAATGAAGTGATTAATATCTCCCATTACATCTTCTAACCAGTTATCGTTTAAATACATCAGATCTATTTTTTATCATGAATTCGGTTCCAGCAACCTTACTGATCTTTCTAATAAACTGAGCTGATTTTCTTGAGAAGGGCTTGCATTGGTTTAATAATTAAACAATAACATTACGTTATAGTTATAGTAAAGTTATTCCTGACCTTAAAATACCTCATGTTTTCACATTAAACTTATTTTTTATTTGTGAGCTAAACATAGTGTCTTTCCTGTTAAGAAAGTTTCATCTAGTCCTATTAATAATTTTAAAAAAGAAAATCAAGTGTAGACTCTTACCTGCTGCTTTTTTCAGGATTGTGTATTATAGATGCTTTTTCTCTTTGGATCTTTTAATATTATTAATGATTCAAAAGATATTTATAGGATCATCCCTTATTTCTGTAATTAATTCAGAGATGTTATTTTAATGTACTCTTGAATTCTACTTGCTAATCTTTTATTGAGAATTTTGTATCTATATTAACAAATATTAACTCATAGTCTGAGGCCAGGTTGCCTGAGTTTGAATTTTGCTTAATTTATTCCTACCTGTAAGACCCTTCATAGATGCATTAACCTCTATATACCTCATCTTTTTCATTTGTAAAGTGTGGCACTGTAAGATAAGCACTGAACTGCTAACCACAAGGTTGGTGGTTCAAACCCACCACCAGTCACTCCATGGAAACCCTTTACAAGATCACTGAGTCAGAACCGACTCAACAGCACTTAACAACAATTAACAAATAAAATTGTTCATATATACGAGTATAGTCTTTATTGAAGACTGTTGTTGTCTTCTTTTTCCATTCTCTCTCTACCCACGCTGAGGTTATCCACCCTTTCAGGTAAGCAATGATGAGGATGCATGTAGGGTGTTTTCCGCTTCCTCACTGTAATGTCAGTCTGGGGAATGAAAACAATTCCCAGAGCATCTAGGGATAGGTAATGTTCAATTCACCCTTAGTTGGCTATTTCACTGCCCTTGATAAAACTCTTTAAATGGCTTGTATTGTGGGTATTCTCAAAATGACAGCCATTCAGTCGGTTCCGACTCATAGCAACTCTATGTGGGGTTTCCGAGGAGCTGCTGGTGGGTTTGAATCACCAACCTAACATTTATTAAATGCCAATTCCCTTCTTAATGTTTAACCTGATTGCATATAACCCTAGCAAGTAATATTCTTAGCCCCACTTTACAAATGAAGATGATGAGGTACGCAGAGGTTGTTAAGTGCCATTGAGTTGGTTCTGGTTCATAGCGACCCTATAGAGGGTTTCCAAAGAGCAGGTAGTGGGTTTGAACTGCTTGCCTTGTGGTTCAAAGTCCAGTGCTTAATCCTACAGTGCCATACCAGGAGTCCTACTAGAGGTTAGGAGACCTGGTGTGGTGCTGTAGGATCAGCATTGACCTGCTAAGCACAAGGCTGGTGGTTCAAACCCATCAGTCACTCCTTGGAAAACCTACCTTACAGGTCAAAGTGTCTTTATGGCCCATTGCCTATCCTACAGAGCTCCACCAGGACTCCATACAGGATCGCTATGAGCCAAATCAACTCCATGACACTTAACAACAACAATTCGAGGTCAAGCAAGATTCAAAGCTAAGAAATCTGGCCTCAGACGATGTGTTCTAAAGCTTAAAGAATCTATGATTCCCTGTGTATTTTATGTCTATTCTTAAAGTCTAAGTGACTTGTACATATTCCCAGCATGCAGTAACCTCACACGTTCTACTTCTATTAGCTGACACTGAGCTCTTCATTTCCTTGAATCCATCCTTCTGCCCACTCAACAGCTACTACACATAAGATAAACTGTTAGAATATTGAAATCCTCTCATTTCTTTCATGCCTGTGTGGGTTAATGAGCTGGACTGCAAGGTCGGTTTGAACTGAAAAGTCGACAGTTCAAGCACACCAGTGGGAACTGACTCACTGGCACTTAACAACAACATTCTAAGAAAGTGTCTTTTTCTCCCAGTGGTCTAGTATATATTCAGCTCTTAGGTGCTGATGCTGATTAATGTTTTAGTTACTACATAGAAAACATGAATCAATTTTCAAAGTGACATATAGAGATTACTTTTTAATTTTAATTTAATTTAGTTGCTCCTGAGAATTTTCTCCTGGTTTCCCTTTTGTTTCATTGTTTAGTGGAGTAAATATGTTCATTCAATCTGTCAAGTTTAGGAAGTATTCATAAATGAAGTAAATCCCGGTGACTTTGGTAAATGACAAGTGTAAAACTGCTATATGGGAAGACTAGGTAGAAGAGTGAAGTGTAAGAGGCTGAGGAGGGATTTTTCCAAACTAGAGATACGTGATGCAGACCAGTGAAATACTTCATATGGCTCTTCTACCCATAGTAGAAGAATTGCCTCTGATGAGTCTAGGAAAGAGAAGATGGAAGAAGTTACATAAAGGATGGCATGATTCAGTTGCAACTGATTGCTAACAGGTGTTACCAGACCTAATTATGATGGTAGAATCTTGGAACTCTAATGTGGGTAGAAAATGAGCCATCTCAGAAGCAGGAAGGAGGATCTCATTCCCATCTAAAGAAGAACCAGGAATGGAGTGCTTTGGGCCAGAGATCCCTGCATATTGAAGCACCTCAACCCAGAGACAGAAAGCTGTGACACCAGACAGGTAACAGCAGAACCAAGAACCAGAACACAAGACAGAGCAGTGGACTTCTCAACCCACGGAGCAAGTAAAGTTGAGTAACTTTGGGCAGGAGGCTCATTGGCAGAGTGGGGTACTTCCTGGCACTTAACTGGAAGGAGCTAGGTTTGCTGAGTCACAGAGCTAAAGCTGAGTGCCTTTGGGCAGAGGGTTATAGCAGAATAAAGCATCCTTTGGACATTTCTCAGCAGCCCTCGAAGAGCTTTGCAACATTGCTGGAGCAGGGCAGAAGCCAGGTGAAAGGCAAAGGCTGAGGGGTCAGAGAGAGCCTATCTTCAAGCACGTCTGAGAAGGAACTACCCTGCCCAAACAACAGTGTTCTGAGCATTTCTGATCTTGCATTGTAATCCCTAATAAAGCCCGTGAATGTGAGCATCGTATCTGAGTTCTCTGTGGCTATTGCAATAAATTATTGGTGCCAATTTTTGAACCAGCTGGTGATAAAATCACAGAAAAGTTGAATATTACCATTGTACCAAAATATCAAAACCTTCCTGCCATTTACAGTATCACAAAACATCACTGAAATGAGCATTTGGACTTGTCTTTATCAAGAAATACCTATTGAAGGCCAGAAAATGATTCCCTGACCTCTTGCATGTGTATGTAATGTTCTGGTAAATGTTTTTTAATTCACAGTTTATTTTTCCTGGTTATCATCTTGTACTATTTTATATATATACCTTTGTAGTATGTATCATAAGATTTTCTTGAACAACATAGAGTTATAAGATGAAATATGGAGTCCTGGTGTGATGCTGTAGGATAAGCAATGGACCGCAAGGTTGGTTTGAACTGCAAGGTCAGTGGTTCAAACCCACCAGCCACTCCTCGGAAATCCTTATACAGGGTCGCTATGAGTCAGAACCAACTCGATGACACTAAACAATAACAATAGATGGAACTATCAATGAGTAATTTTCTATAAAAGAAGACAGATTATTCAGGATATGCTGCATGATAATTGGGTGGGTTTTGTTTCATTTTCTTTTTTCAAATATAGGATAAAATATGCCAAAATAAGTGTTATTATTATCATGATAATAATTGTTTTCTGATTTCTTCTTTATTCAAGTTCAGTGAACGGGTATACTGGTTGATTACTATCCCTAGAGAAAGCCTCACAAAAAATACAGGTAAGAGTGAGCCAATTTAATTATTTCACCTGTAAGTCTGGACTGCCAGATAAAGCAAATAAATATTTTATTTAAAAAGGATTTGCTATGCATGTCCAATATATATATATGTTCCAAACTTACATTTAAAAATTTCTTGTTTAATCCCCACTGAGTAGTTTTTATCCTGGGTGGGTCTGGTGAAAGGAGATGGGGAAAAGATTCTTATTATACAATAGTGAATAATTGTAATCATGACTAATTACAATTATCACAACTGTAAAGGTAGAAGTTTTGTAACATAAAGAGGGGAGTAGTTAATCTCACAGTCCAGGAACAGAGGACCCTAGAACCATCGAAGGAGAAGAGCATAAGTGGAATGTGACCCTCTCCAGAGAATCAGTGACACCAGAGATGGAGGCAGAGATGAGGACATGGAGAAAGAGCTGCTGAGGACTCTAGACTCATGGAAAGAGAAAGGCTGTGTGTGGTGGCCAGGAGGCAGGCTTGCAGAATGTGCCCTTTGGTTGTTTAAATGACTATATATTCCTGAGTATTTTTGTGTACATCCTCAAAAAACAAACAAACAAACAAAAAAAAAACCCAGAGGGAATAGAAGCAAAGACTGTTGAATGATGATGCATGGAGGGGATTGTAATCATTGCAATGAAACGAAATACGATACAATGAATGTAAAACCGATGTTCTCCCATGTGACCTATCCCTCAATTCACAATAGAAACTTAAAAAGACAAACAACAACTTGTGTATCTTAACTTCAAATTGAAGTGGGGGGTAACTTGAATTTTATGACAATCCTAGAGTAGATATTCTAACACATTATATTTACATTATCCTTTATTTAAATTCACTTTGTGGTTGTTGTTAAGTGCTGTCAAGTTGGTTCCAACTCATAGTGGCCCTATATAGGGTTTCCAAGAAGCAGCTGGTGAGTTTGAACCATCGATCTTATAGTTCAAACTGACCTTGTGGACTAGTACTTATCCTGCAACACCACACCAGGACTCCTAACCAGCCCCAGGTTCAGTTACAGATATGCTGTGATCCATACAGTTTTCACTTACTGGCTTTCAGAAATAGATGGCCAGGCCTTTCTTCCTCATCCATCTTAGTCTGGAAGCTCCACTGAAACCTGTTCAGCGTCCCAGCAACACACAAGTCTCCATGGACAGACAGGTGGGGACTACACATAAGGGGTGTTAGCCAGGAATCGAACCTGGGTCTCATGCCTGGAAGGGGAGTAATCTATCCCTGAGCCACTAGATAGATTTTCTGATACATATATTTACACTATCCTCTATTTGAATTAAATGCATTTTATAGAACTTGTAAATTGTAGTATTGAGAAATGAGGGTGCTATTTGATCTTACTAAAACGGAATCATTAATCTTAAAACTTTACAGGCTATAATATATATGATTTTACTATGGAATCAACTGGTCCAATGTTATGTGGCAGACTAGTTTTATATGCTACTGTAAATACTCACAAGGAAAAAAAGGAAAGAAAATTCCCACGAGTTGTGGGTATTGAGCTAGTGGTTTGAACTGGTACATCTTTAGGCATGTTATATATCCCCGTAGTTAAGGATGGCATTTTAATATATTAGGCTAACCTGAAGATCAGCAGTTCGAAACTACTAGTCATTCTGCGGGTGAAAGATGAGGCTTTCTACTCCTGTAAAGATTTCCAGGGTCTCTGAGTCAGAACCGACTGCACAGCACACCGCCACCACCACTACAGGAATGAATTAGAAGTAGCAATGGAAAACCACCAGGGATCCAATCAGTGAACGCTCTTAACCCATCTCTCTTATCTGTCGTCTCCTATGAATCTGCTTTTATTGTTCCTTATTTCTGTGCAGACTAGCTCTGTAAAGCTGCCTCATTGCCCCTGGAATTTCAGGTATCTTCTTCTAGGGAACAATACAGTTGTCAGGAGGATTTGTTGAGCTGTTGAGCTTTGACCCAGCATCCACTTCTCTGCCAATCAAGTGTGGCAGGGAACGAGGGGCTGGGAGAGTGTGGTGGAGGAAGAGTACAGGCCAGTTCCTCTAGGTGTTGGGAGTGTTTAAAGCCATCCATGCTATGGTCCTACAGAGTGAAGTGGGGGAAGGTGAGAGAAAATTCTATAGATAAGCAATGCCAAAGATAAAATTGCAAAAGGAGTCTGCAAGAACCATGTGGGAGCCATATCTGACTTCCCTGGATTTCACAAGGGGGAAAAGAATCAAACTCAAAGTCAGCCCAAGGTTGATTCTTATGAAGTGGAAGTCAGACACGTCTCCACCCTGCAGCTTTCTTTATTCTGACAATAACCATCCCTCCCACAGCGCTCTCTGCTTTACATCTGGGTTAGATCATCTGTTGCAATGGCCACACGGAACTCATAACAGCAGTCACGATTATGGGGTTTATTAGGGAAGTGAACAGAGTACAATTCAGGATCAGAAAAACTCAGGAACGCCTCTTGTCTGCCATACTGCAGGCACGCCTCACTCTTGTCTTCAACCTCTCAGCCATGTCCTCTCTTGGCCTCTACCCTGCTCAGGCAAGTGTTATTAAGTTCTTTGAGCCAGGCTTGAATGTCCTCTCTTGGCCTCTACCCTGCTCAGGCAAGTGTTATTAAGTTCTTTGAGCCAGGCTTGAATGTCCAAGGCATACATTCGGCAAGCCAGTCTCCTGCCCATAGGCACTCAGCTTTATACAGACCACAGGCAGCTGTTCTGTCTCTCCATGCCACTCCTCTGCCATCGCCTCTGTGTCGCTTCTTACTGGTAGGATCTCATACTCTTCCTTCTTGATGGTCCTGGGGTCAGATCTGTTCCTGCTTCTGAGATGGCTCTTGGCTCTTTTTAAAGCCAACTGGAGGGTAAAACTAACCAATCCCTATATACCTTTTTTGCATGTTCCCACCCATTAATTTAGTGAGAGTTCAGAAGACTGTGAATAGAAAAATTCATCTCAAGTACATTAAAGATATTACTACAGTCCCAATATACTAACTTTTGACATGAACTTGATCCTTTACTCACCTCAATTTTTTTTTCTATTTTGTGATGTTTTTCAATGAGTTCATCCTGACAATTTATATTTCTTTTTTATATAATTGAACTCTAAAGAGTATTGTTGTTAGCCCGTCAAGTCAGTTCTGACTCATTGTGACTCTGTATAGGGTTTCTAAGGAACCACTGGTGGGTTTGAACTGCCAACCTTGGCAGTTAACAAGCAATCCAGTGCCTATCCCACAGCACTACACCAGAACTCCTAAATTGATGTAGGTGCTAGCTTTCTTTCTTTTTTTTTTTTTTTGAAGTTTTCAAAGATTTAATTTTGCTTGGATCCACAATCAACACTCATGGAAGTAGCAGTTAAGAAATCAAACGACATACTGCGTTAGTCATACCTGCTGCAAAAGACTTCTTTGAAGTGTTCAAGAGCAAAGATATCAGATTGAGGACTAAGGTGTACCTGAGCCAAACCATGGTATTTTCAGTAGATTCATAGGCATGTGAAAATTAGACAAGGGATAGGGAGACCATGGAAGAATTGATGCATTTGAGTTATGGGGTTGAAGAAAAATACTGACAGTACTATGGACTGTTAGAAGGATAAACAAATCTGTATTGGAAGAAGAACAGCAGAATGATCCTAAGAAACTAGAATGGTGAGACTTCATCTCTTATACTTCAGACATGTTATGAGGAGGGACCACTCCCTGGAGAAGGACATCGTGCTTGGTAAAATGAAGGGTCAGTGAAAAAGAGGAAGACCTGCAATGAGATGGATTAGCACACTGGCAGTGGCAATGGACTCAAGTTGTGTGGATGGCACAGGACTGGGTAGTGTTTTGTTCTGTTGTGCATAGGGTCACTATGAGTTGGAAATGACTTGATAGCACCTAACAACAACATGTGTTATGAGGCAGGAATTGAAGCAGTTATGTTAATGAGGCAGGATACATTCTATATGCTTAGCTTGGAACTTTAGACAATTTCTTTTTGGGATGTAAAAAGAAATTAAACAAGCAAGTGGAGATCAGAGGGACCTATTACCACCAGGAAAGGAAAACTGAGAGTGAAGTATGTCCCATGGAGCCAGGGTCCCTGCTCTGTGAACCTCCTTGACCCAGGGGAAGATTGGTGCCAAGACACTTGGAGATCTCCAAAGGATGCCAAGACTACGATGCTGAGTGGGCTAGCTTTCTTTTGATTAGTGTTTGCATATGGTGCCTTTTTCATTCTTTTACTCTTAACTAATCTGCTTCTTTATATTCCAAGTAAATTTCTTATAGATGACATATGTTGTTAAGTGTCATCAAGTCCGTTCCAACTCATAGCAATCCTATATAGGGTTTCTGAGGCTGTATATCTTTGTGGGAGCAGAAATCCTCTTTTGCCTTCAGAATGGCTGGTGGGCTCAAACCACTGACTTTGTCATTTTCAGCCAAGTACTTATCTACAGAGCAATTGTTGTTGTTGTGAAGTGCAGTTAGCAGTCCAATGCTTATTCTACAGCACTGCACCAGGATTTCACAGACCCAACAATTCAACCTTAATTTTTACATTTTGCTTTTTTTTTTTAATTAAATGTTTTTATTTTAGATTGAGTGAAAATTTACAGGGCACATCATCAGCTTCACATTCAAC